GGGAAAGAGAAGAAGGAAGAAGTGTACCTGATGAGGAAGACCCTGAGCCTGGGAACTCTGAAAACCCCTTCCAGCCTATATCTGCTGTAATCTCTGAGGTATGAGAATATGTGGAAATCTGGATCGTTTTAGACCTGCTACTAACAAATGTCTAAGAGGTAATGAGAAAAATAGTTCATTGAGAAGAATTGTTCTAAGACCATATGCACAGCATTATTTTATTTATATTTTTAAAATCTTGGCAGTCTTGTTTAGTGTGCATTGAATCAATGCTTTCATGTTAAGGAAAATCCCCTATTACTGATTTGGGGACAAAAAGCTGTGTAGACACAGTAAAATAAAGGTATGGTAAACAGATGACTGAACTCATTTCCTAATTAAACTATTGGATATTCAGGAGTGGAAAATATTCAAGGTTGATTAGTTACTTGTAAAAAGTGTTTTAGTGATGTAGTGAGTCATATAAAATCTCTCTGACTACTTCAAATATTTAGTTTTCTGAATATAATCTGTTTTCTGTTGAAAACTGAGACAATTCATAAGTTTTCTTCACTTTGAAATATGAAAAGCATATTAAAAACCACAGTAGCACTTTCTAGATACTTAAACTCTGGGCATGTGTGTTTTGTTTTAACTACAACATCAAAAAAGAGGAAGGAATTCAAGTGCTATAACCTTTTGCTCAGGACTGTCGATGTTGCTTCTAAACCTAGCATCTTTTTTTTTTTTTTTTTTTTTTTCTCATATGACCAAAAAGAAATCATGAAAACAGGCTATAAACCTAATTTCCTTTGCACTTAATCCCCTTTTAGTTTTTCCTACCTTTCCTCTAGACAGGATACTAGAAGTTTAATTTCTTCACCTATTTGAAAATATTTTCTATGCTAGAAGTGGGACAGAAAAATATTTTAGGATTATTTTGATTTTTAAAATAATCTTCCTGTCTTATTAGTCAGTTTACAGCATTAGAAGTTGTTAAAAAAAATCTTATACTGTTTGTTAGAATGAAAAACAAATTGAAAAGGAAAAGAAGCGGCAAAGGTTGGAGACTGAAAAGGCTACGATTGTCTTGAAATCGCAAACAGAGCAGGAACGAATGGATGCCCAACACTTATCAAGCAGTAGCCAAAATATAAATGATAGTAGACTAGAAACATGCAATTCCACAACTACACAGCTTTTGCAGCATGAAGAGAATGAGCAGCAAGCCTCAGATTGCCTCGACTCAGGTAAAACTGCTTCCTTTTAATGTGTCATTTAATGTTATTTTTCACATAGTTCTTCCCTCTGTCTGTGTTATTTTTCATGATACCACATGTCAATTCGATCTATTGAAAACATAAAAATGCACCATTAGGTTATTGTATTGGAAAATCTGCTTCAAAAAAGTGCGTACTTGTTGGTGTGATTTATACTGTAGCTGAAATTAAGTTCATTTTTATTGTAATTAAATAGGTGGTCCACTTTCCATCAGTACCAAGCTAAGTTGAATTTCTTTATTAAAATGCAGAGTTTGCATATATTTTATGCTTACAGTTTATTTTCTGAAGCAAAATGTTGTGTACATTTTACATTTCACATAATTTTGTGTTTAAGTTTGGACTGAAAACGCTGATATATCTCACCCCAACAATTGTATTAAAAGATGATCTAAGAGATTCTCTGAATAACTGTATGATATGTAATGTTTTATTTCTGTTTGGTATAGACAATAATAAGAAAAAAAATAAAAAAACAAAATTAAAAAGGGGCCACAGAGTAGAACCTATTAATGCAGAGGACACCGTTTCCAAAAATCCTACACCACCACCAGCTCTTCCACCAGGTAAGTGTACTAACAAACAATAATTGATGTCGCAGTTTGTGGTTAATAATCCTTTAAAATATTCATTTGTGAATGGTGAAACTGGAATGGTCTTCATACAGAGATATGCTACTAAACCTTACTCTCTATGAAATCTTTGGTGCAGTTTCCCACTTCATGGTATAAACTTTCAGCAGTATTGATTTGATCTATTCCATGGGGGAAGCCTGACTACTCACTGATGAAAAAGTTATTAAAAATATCAGTATTTTTAAGGGTAAATCAGTTTATTTTTGAAGTATTTCATCATTATTCACCATATTAACAATATATTACATACTTTTGGCATTTCTAAATGCTTTGATTTCTCCCAAAGAGAACTGGCTTCCATGCATTTCATCAGAATCAAGTGCAGTCGTGGCATGTTTTGACTGTCTGTGTTTTCCTTTAGTTGGCTGGGGAACTCCCAAACTTAATAGACTTCGAAAACTTGAGCCTCTTGGTGAAACACATCATGCTGGTAATTGAAAAGTTTTTGGGTTTTGTACTTTTTTTAAAGCATTGTCCACTGTTCATTCACTTCTACATTCATTTCATTCTTCATCTTTTTTTAATTTCTTGATGCCAATTTTCATTGACCAAAAGCTAACCTTTCTGCTTAGTAGAAAGCATCTTTTTGACTTTCCAAGTCTTACTACTTTTTTTACCAAAAAGAATAAGTTCTCTTATATTCCCTTACGAAGTTTTTAAGTGGCATGGGATATCAGAAGCTATTAATGAGCTGAAGTTATTTGCACAGCAGCATGCACCTAAATATTATGTGCCATATAACAAAGAGTAACAGGACCAGTTACTTCAAGAGTCCAAACACAGGTTGCATTCAAAATAAAAATTTCACAGTTTATTTTCCTTGTCCATATGTAGGCAGTTCATCATTATCTGATGCAATGAGGACAGGAGTTGGGTTACCTGGATACTGGAGGAAGTCTGAGGTACTCAGCAGCGAGGATACTTCAAAAAAACCTAAACAGGACTGCAGAGATCCAATGGGGCTTATTAATTTGGGATCCATTGTGGATCTTCCACATCCCAGCTGGTTCTGCACTAAGCTGCCTGTTTGTTTCCACGCTGATCTTATGATCCAACCTGGAAGTGCTAATTGCTTCACAATACTGAGCCAAATGGGCCCCATGTATTTCTGTAGTCCTGTGAGACATAGCCCACCTCCAGGGGAATTTGCTGTGTGTAAGCTGACTCCTTGTGTGGCCTCTTGAGATAGTCTAAAATTTCTTCTATCCACTGCTACTGTTTCCATATGGTTTTAAAAGCACAGTCTGTAAGATTTTGTCATTGATTTGGGGTGTTTACTAGTGAGAAGGAAAGCTAAAGACACGTGGGCACCTCTGAATTAAGTGCATTATGTTAGCAACTCCAAATGAGGGACTGCAATTCAGCTATGATGAAAAGCCCAACATAAATATGATTGCAGAAGTAGTGAGACTTCCAAGTGAAAACTAGGTTATTGGTCTCCAAGGAGAGGTTTCAGTGATAAAGCTTGGGATCTGACGCTTTATCTGAAGAGCCAGTGTCCCTGAAAATTCACAAACTGACAGGAGAAATAAGTTTAATAACTGGGAATGTCAAGGTGTAGTAGGCAGATTTGTGCTTTCTCTCTTCAATAATGACTATTTTCTATTTTTGGAAGACCACGGAAGATTATTTTCAATATACTTATATTTCACCTTTTTCTCAATTTCGGATTATAATTTCTTAATTTTTCTTACTTTTTTGTTTTTCAAATTTTGAAAAGCCAAGTGGAGACACCTGCAGTAATATGAGAGGATAACCAAGCTAAAGCAATGGGGACACCGATACAAATTGAACAAAGAGAACATTAATTGAGGAACATAGAGAAAGGAGCTCAGTGTGGCCATAGTGATCTTTGAGCTTAACCCTGACTTGAACTGATTGTAGTACTGCACCATGTGGACATACCTGCTGAAATTTTGAAGCAACAGAACATGGAGCTTCTTTACCAAATAATCAAAAGATCGCTAAAGGGGAATTAAGTTCTCTAAAAACTAGATATTTATTTTCACAGGAGTGTAATTCACGTGCATAAAATGTAATTTGTAATCTTAATCACAAAACCATCTCGCTCTTTTTTTTTTTTTTTTTTTTTTTTTTATTGCTTAGACGTCCTTTCTTGAGGCCGCAGCGTCTGCCTGCATCATCGGCCGGCCTTTTTTTTTCT